TTGTTCTTACTCAACGTAAATGACATATCAAATGTTGTTACTTCTTTTATTAAAATGTTCGCTGACGATACAAAGATTTACCGTGAAATTAATAATGCTGAGGATACATTAGCACTACAGTCGGATCTGGATTTCCTGGAAAACTGGACAAAAAGCTGGCAAGTTAAATTTAATCCCCAGAAATGCGAAGTGATGAAAATCACACATAAGCAAGACAAAAGTAAGCATCCTTATCAAATGTCGAATGCAGAATTAAAATCAGTTAACTCATGCAAGGACCTGGGTGTTGATGTGTCAAGAGACTGATCCTGGTCGAACCACGTGGACGCATTTGTAAATAACGCAGACATAGTGGTGGGCCTACAAAAGCGTACAGTTGGTAGCAAGAACAGGGAAATTTTCTCTATGCTGTATAAATCCTTGGTTAGACCAATCCTAGAATACGCATGCCCAGTATGGTCGCCCTATTTAGTTAAAGATTAGTTGGCACTCGAAAAAGTACGACGAAGAGCATTGAGAATCGCTCTCAGTCAAAAACTATGCAAGATGTCATATGAAGAATGATGTATATTGCTAAACTGGAACACACTTCAGCATCGAAGAGAATGCCTATCTGTAGTGGAATGCTACAAGACAGTGTTTGGTCTTAATGGCCTAGACTTGGATGACTATTTCGAGTTTTGTAGAAGTAAAAACACTAGAGCCAACCATCCATTCAAAATACAAACTAAATTAGCTAAAGTTAACTCTTTTAAGTACTCCTTCTTCGTGACAATCGTCAAAAAATGGAACAGTTTGCCAAACCATCTCTTCACGGACGAAATTAACCTGAACAAATTTCCAAAGGCTTAAAAAGACGGATTAAGATTTATTGACACAGAAGCTTATATTTTAATTTTATATATTTTCATTTTAAATACAATTTTTACATACCGTTTTGTACCTGCACTAATGATTTTTACGCGCGTTTTTTATAATTTTTTAATATTTTTAAAGTTCAGTTAGGGGACCTTTTATAGGGATAACCTTGCGGTTCACCTTTTCAAATATGTTTCGTGTATCAGGTTAATGAGCATACCGTACTTATTCGAATAAGCGCCCAACCTCGAATTAGCGCCCAGCTCGAATAAGCGCCCACCCCCTCCTCCTCCCAATCAAACTCAAATAAGCGCTCACCCCCACCCCACCTACTTAAGTTAATAAATTCTAATAAGAGACTTCCCCAAGAACGGAGTTTTCTTCAGAGTATTTTACAGAAACCTTGCTTTGTTACTTCTTCGCGTTTTGTTATTAGCATTTATTTTTTTGTTGCAAAATAAACATACTTCACTTGCTAAAAATGGTGAAAAATTAATAAGAGCCCAGCCTCGAATACGCGCCCACCCTCAAGGTCCCTCAGGGCGGTTAATCGAATAAATACGGTATATGTATTTGAATAAGGTATTATTATTATGATTATGATTATGATTATGATTATGATTATGATTATGATTATTAGTAGTAGTAGTAGTATTAACTATCCGGCTCTTTATTGGTCTAACTAGGTGAGGAATTGTCATCATCAATATAATTACTTTACTTGTTGTTCTTCTTGTCGTTGTTGATGACATCCCATCGTTTTAATTAAGATCATGTATTGTTTTCGTAATTTTTCAAAGTTGAAGCTAAATAGCATGACTTTTTCGCTAATATAATATCTCTGCTCAGGTCATAGTCAAATCACTAGTAAGAGTTACACAGAACCTAACTGGCACCTGTCTCGTGTGTGAACGGAAGCCTTTTCTGGTATGATTTTCGTGCCGGCGCAAAAGTTAACCAGTGGCACAAGAGCTTTCCGGTATAGGCAAATCCTTGTTTACATTTTTTGCCTCATTAGCATAAGCTTATCATCATCTGATAAAGCTAATAAAATGAAATTTCTGAACATTGAAAGAGCATAACAATTTCAGTTATCTCTGAAAATTTAAGCCCTTTATGCCAAATAGCTTCTGAGAAAATTCTCCTTGAAAAACTCCCAAATTTACAAAGAATGTGTGAGCTCATTAACGTTTTGTCACCCAGTAATTTAGCAGTTTTTAATTGCTGTTATTTTATTTGTTACTGATTGCAAAGAGCTAAAACTTGCACAAACTGCATAAATTGACTCTTTTAATTGACTGCACCTAGTTGGTAATACAGCCATGGGTTAGCTCATATGCTAATGAGAAAAAATGTAAACGATGACGTCACCATGAATCCGCCCATAGTGTGAACATAGCCTTAAAAGAAGCAAGTTTATTTAAAAGAACATTTTTAAAAATTTGATGTTAATTTCAAAACATGCGTAGCTTTGTAGTTTTTGTTTTAGAGTTGAATAGGACCCAATAAAGGATTTCATTTGCATATTGACCCTCCGATGGTCGGCATTTTCGGCTCCTGATGTTACTATTTCATGGTTTCCGAATTTGGTACAAATACGACACATTCTAGAATAGAGGCGACCACTGGTTTAGGCAGAAAAGAAAAATCCAAAGTGTTGTGAGTCTCAGACGCGCCTATACAAGCTCAGCTTCTGCGACAGTCAAGGAAAATAAAATTTGTCGCTGTTGTTTTCGGGCTTGGCTGACTCTTGTTCTCCGCTCAAGCTGTGGCAAGTGTTCCCTCTCTTTTACTGGGGTGATTTTTTGTGAACTGCTATATCTGCGTTTTCAACATTATATACGTTAACTTAATAAACGGCCACGCCTATGGCCATGTTCATTATTCGGGAGTTTTAATCATTCTCTGTCCTAGCAGCTCACCGACTTATTATGCAGATTTCACCAAAGGCAAGAATACTATGAAAAAAAAACAAAAAACAATCAAATAGTTCAGATAAAACTGGCAGTCACAGGTGCTATAATTAGCCTGTTAACAATCTAACTTAAATAGTAGTCGTGATGCAAATATATAAAGCTTGTTCTCATCATCATCATCATCATCATCATCATCATCATCATCCCGTCATTATCATTGTAGTAATTACTGTTGCGATTGTTGTTGTTGTCGATATTTGCATCATTATTATTAAGATAACGTACTGTTTTAGTTATTTAACGTTGAACCTAAGCAAAGTATGGAGTTTTAATTATCTTTTTAGTCCACTCTAAAGTCACTTGAGTTGCATGCATCATACAATGAAAGAACAGCAAACTTGAAACATTGTCAGCAACCGTATTATTCTTTCTCGGGGATTTCGTCGATTGTGGGTAGTGTATGGAAATGAATGAAAAATAATTCCTTTTTGGATACATCATTTCTTTTCTTAATGAAAAATCCTAATGATCCGGATATTTTTTTTTTATCACATCATGGAATTTAGTAAAGAAACCACCCTTAGTCATGTGGTCATACAGAAGGCAAGGCCTTCATTCGTTCATTATGTGCCTCATGCATGATCTGCAAATTATATTTTTTATGTTTAATTTTTCGTGTAGCGATAAAATTTCCCTTTGGTGGACAATATGAGTATGCTAAGACTAACAAAACGGCCATTTCTTCTTTAGTTAAATTATTCTTTTTCATCCACCGCCACGCAAGTTTTAGGCACATATGCCTTCAACCTGTACCATGGGATGATGAGAAATTTCGAGTTCAAATTTCGAGAAGTTTTTCAAAACTTTCGTAAACCTCGAGCACCCTACAAGCGGAACATCTGTAGACATCTTCCGTATGATGCTGACGAATGCCTTCTTGAATTCCCGGATTTTAGCATAGTAAATCAGAAAGTTCATGGCTGAGTTTGACAGAGCCAGAGTTCGGAGCCACATGAGTAGATGAATGTTCTGTTTTACAAAAGATTTTCCAATGGAAAAACCCATTGCAATTATCAGAGGAATCTAGCAAGCAGTGAATGCGCCCATTGCGACTACCAGTGTGTAAGCAACACGCACCTCCATTCGGGAAGTCATTTTCGCCGAAACTGGTCGAAAGAAAGTTGAAAACGCAAATAAAGAAATAGCTGACGGCAAAGGTTGTCATTCTCAGAAATTTAATGAATGAGCCGGGGAAAAGAGCGGGCGGAACGATATACTTTAAAGCGGGAGCAAGAATCGGAATAGACCATGATACTATGAGCATAACTTTTAATCCACATCCCTCGATGAAGTTTCTGTGTCGCAGTGGAAACACAACGGCAACGAAACGATCAAGACTGATTGCGACCATATGCAAGACAGAGGTGGTACATAAAAGATGGAATAAAATGAAGTACGCAACGTGCAGGCTCGCTGCGCATTCGTAGAAAAATGACATCCAGCTTGGGACTCCCAAACTGCGCACGTTCGACCAAAACGCACCATTTTCTTATCCTTGATTTGGTAGTTAGGTGGGGGTCTTGACTTTCCGCATAATTTGTCCAAGATTTTAGAGAATAGTTGAGATATATAGGGCCCCATACAGGTACATATATCTGTTTAACATATATAAGGTAGTAATTAAAAGGGGGGGGGGGTGGATATATTCTCTTCCCTATGCCTAGGATACACGCGGTTCACTAAAGAAACAAAATGCCCTTTGTAGTTATTTCCCTAACTTGACGTGAAAGATAGCACGTACAGTGATTGTGTGTGCAGGGGCCTGAATAGTAAGTAAAGTAACTGGTTATTTGCTTACTGTTGTGCTTACTATTAGTTCATTAATCTGCAACTTAGCTGCACGATTCAGGGGCACCCAACGACATTTTTTGGAAAATATGTGTTCGGAAGGAGATTGGAGATCTGGAATTTTCGGAACATTTGTTGTTAAATTTCTTGCTTGCCTGCTTCTCCTAGGATTTTCGACCCCCCCCCCCCCCCCCCCCCCCCCCCCCCGCCCCCCCCCTCCCTCTTCCCAACCTTTTTCCCACATATCTCTAACACCACTTTTTACACACGTTTTTTATTCTTCATGTTTTATAGTAACACATTCTAATAACAATATAATTATAATTAAAAATAAGATATAAAGAC